AGCGCCGCTCCCGACCCTCGTCCCCGAGGCGATGGCAAAGGCGATGTCCAGCGCCGTGGGGCTGCGGCTCTTTTTGCTGCTGCTGCCACTGCTCGGCGAAGGTGAGTCCTGGGGCGCCGGGTGCGGGTCGCAGGTGGGGCGCGCGAACTAGGGGGGCTCGTGGACAGCTAGGGGCGCGCAGCCCTCGCGCATTAGCCTGCGTTGTGAGTGGCTCTGATGGACCCCCACAGCCCTGCTTTCCCGCGGCTTAGGTCTCCTCCTCAACGAGGTGGCTTTGCTGCCTGGTCTTGGTCCAACAGTTGTGGTTCCTGGGACGCTTGGACGGAGCCCCGCCCGCAGCCTGTACCCTTGGGTGGCCCAGGGCTCCGGACCCGCACGAACAGGGGAAGGTGCAGGCTGTCGTGTCCCGCGCGGATCCGTTATAAGATGCGGTTCAGCCGGGCGCCAGGCGGCACTCCCAGCACTGTAGGATGACCCTGCCTGGCATCGGCCGGGTTCTAACCTGAGCCCCAGACCCAGGCGGACAGGACACACAGAGTTTTTGGGAGACGGGAAGATTCCTTTCTCCTGCTTCTCACAAAAGAGCGTTGCTCCGCACCCAGTGAGGGAAACACCACAGCTCCTGCCCGCCCTGTGCTGCCCACTACCTGGCAGGGAGGGAGCCCGAGAGGCGCAGCGCAGAGGCACAGGCGGTTCTCCCCTGTGAGATGGAATGGGGACTCTTGGGTTTGGGTTTCAGTCGCAGGATGTCCAAGCCGTCAGGCAGCAGGCTGGGCACAGGGCAGAAGCCAGCAGAAGTCCCCACCTGTGACTCTGTCCAGCCTGATCGCTGTGGGCCTATGGCCAGTGTGACCCAGGGGCCTTGCAGGCATCTCCGCACCCCAGCTTCCGTGCTCCTTAAGGCTAAGTGCTAGGCTGGGGGCTTGCAGCACACTTGCAGAAATGAAGGTTGCTTTCCGTGGAGACCCCTCACCACAGACTTCTGCCGAAGACAGTCTCCCGGTCCAGGAAACGTGGGCGCCTTTCCCTGGGAGAACTAAGAAGACTCGATCAGAGGAGTGATGACCCCAGGAGGGGATAACAGGGCCTTGAGGGGCCATGGGGCTCTACCAGGGTAGGAGTTTGGCTGAGCCAGGACAGGGCTCCCAGGGTACGAGTACTAGGACGGAGCAGCTGGGCCTCCAGCGCCCTCTGGCGGAGGTAGTGCTCCTATGGCCTCTGTTGCTGGGGCACAGCTAGTCTCCGCAGGGGAGGGTCTCCCTCAGCTCACACGCACACACACTTGTGCCCGGCACAGTGGGACTTGGGTCCTTCCCCTTCCTCAGAAGGATATGCTTTTGAGGCCGTAGACTCCCTGTCCACCCATAACCCCTACCCAAGGGCCTGGCCCCTCTGCCCACCCCAACCCCCACACCCTGCCCTGCCCCCATATCCTTGGGCATTGCCCCAGCCCCTCGTGGCCTGTAACCATGGGACTTCGCCCAGAGAGTAAGGTGTGCTTAGGCATAGCTCCCCTTCAGAATGGGCCAGGGGATCACGGAGCTCCTCACTCCCTACCACACATACACACACACACACACACATACACACACACACACACACACACACACACACACACACAGGCAGGATCCTGCTTGTGCCTTCCCCCTCCCCTGAGCAGGGCCTACACACAGCATCACTGGGCAGCTGAGCTGATGCTTAGGGGCCCCATTGCTAAATTGCCTTTATTCTGCAGAATTGCTTTAGGGCCAGTCTAAGTAAATCACTATTTCCTCAGTGGTGGGAAGAAAACGGGATGCTTTCACCTAATGGGGCACTAATGGCCTCTTAGTCAAGGGAGGAGAAAAGTAATTAAAAATTATGGTGTATGTTGGAAACAGATCTGGGGTCCTGAGGGGTGGAACTGGAAGCTGTGCCTCCCCAGGAGCCTCCTCCCTCTGCAGCCTGACAAAGAACCCTTCGTCCCCTGTCTTAGACAGGATATGGATACAACTATGCCACCCTCAGGCTCACAGCAAGTGGCCTTGGTCCCTCAATCTTCCAGGCAGCTCTGTGAAGGCCTTGGTCTCATTTTTGCCCTCATAGCCCAGAGACTGAGGCTCCATGAGTCTGTGGGCTTCAGGGCCAAGGAGGGCTTCAGAGCGGGACATGGCCCAGAGCCTGACCACCTTCAGGCCAAGATCTGCCCAGGTCTGCAAGAACCCACAACACTGGGCCATCACCCAGGTGGGAGCCCCTGGGTCTCTGTGGATGGCTCTTTAGCAGATGTTGGGATGGACACTTGTGTGCAGAGCATGGCAAGAGAGGGTATCCATGCTGCCTTGTGCCAGCGACTGCCAGGCACCAGACATCTGACTAGAACTCCAGAAGGGAAGAAGAGGACAGGCAGTGACTTCCTTCCCTCCTACCTGCAGCCATGTGGACACTGTGGGAGCAGGTGGTCCTGAGGCAGGGCTGTGACACATCCTGCCAGGCTGGTGCCCACTCAGCCTCCTTTGCATCCTTCAGCCTGCACTCCTCACCTCCTTCCCTCTTTTCCAGGTGTTCATCTGTGTGAGGGGTGGGTCTGCCACAAATACCCAGGAAAGGTGTGCTCACCCAGCAGGTGACCCATCACCTGTGTGGGATGTGTGTGTGTGATTTAGATAGGGTGCACAGGCCACAGGTGGGGTCTGACGTGTGGGATGTGTGTGTGTGATTTAGATAGGGTGCACAGGCCACAGGTGGGGTCTGGTTGGGAGTTGGTGCCGGGAGCCAGGCAGGGAGCACCTGGCAGGAAGCATCTGGCTGCTGCTATGGGCTGGGGGTGCTTGGATCCGAGAGTGTGGAGTCTGGGGACTGACCTGGTTCTGCTGCCCTGGGCACTGAGCCCTTGGGGTGGAGAAAGAAGTGACAGGCTGGGTATTGAGGCCAGGCTCACCTCTCCCTCCTGCCCAGACCCCCAACCTGGCCCACACAGGTGTGCAGCCCTCCTTCCTACACTCCCCACCTGCTGTGCCAGGCTTCTGAACCCTAACCCCCTGAGGCTGAGCTATCATGGGGACCCTAGGTAAGCCAGGCAGCAAGACAGGGGTGCTGTTATCTCAAGAGCCCCTCCCAGCCAGAGCCAGTGCCCTTGCTGCCTGGTGTGTCAGGTGACACTGGGTGGTGATCAGGGATCTTACACCACCTGGGGTCCTGAGGAGAGCAGGTGACTGGCCCTGAGCAAACACTACTGTGTGGGTAGCTCCAAAATGGATCAGTCCAGGTACTGCAAACAGGTCACCTGTGTCCCTGGACAGGTGTGTACCACCTAGGGCCACCTGCAGGCTTTCCATGCAATGCCAGGGAGACCCACAGGGCTGGGGTTTGTGCAGGTGGGGACATGGAAGCTAATATCAGATCTGCAGAGCCCAGGTATGTGTCTGGGGGTGGTGTGACCCCAGAGTAGGAGGTAGCGGAGTCTAGACAGTATTCAACCTCTACCTCAGGAGGCTGAGGCAGGAGGAACCCAGGTTAGAGAACAGCCCAGGTGAAGTAGTAGGATCCTGTCTCAGAATAAAAGTGGAAAAGGGCTGGGATGTACCTCCATGGTAGTGCACCTGCCTGATGGGTTCAAGGCCATGTTCCATCCCCAGTGCTCTTAAAGAAGAAACCAGTCCTTCCTTATGTGCCTCTGTGATTCCAGAAATTCTCACTTTGAGTTTCATAAAGGGAAAGAAAAAAATGAAATTAGTAATGACCTGGGAAGTGCTGGGGAAGAGGTGAAAGTTGATGCCAAGACCTGAGGTGGGCTGAGTGGGGCACATAGGATGGGCATAGGGGCACAGGACACAGGGACGTTGGCAGGACGTGGGTGTGCAGAGGTGCGCTGTGCTTGCTCACTGGACATCCCAGGCATCTCTGCCCACCTCTGCCAGAGTTCTGGTCAGCACAGCAGCAGGGACTTTTATAACAATTCATTACAGGTTTTTATATTCACCTAACAGCATCCCCTCTCTGTGGTTCCAACTCATCCCCCTGCCCTGGGTTTGCCTGTTGGGATCCTCATCTAATTCCACAATGGTCTGGCTTCTCTGCTTGGGTGCAATGTTTTCCTCCACTTTGTAGTAGTGCCAGGGTGTGACTCCTTTTCAAGTGTGAGTAGTACTGGGTCTGAGGATTTACTGCCCAGGGTAGCAGTCTTCAGAGACATGAGGATGTTTTCCACCACTTGGCCATAAACAATGTTGCTATAACATTTGTGTACAAGGCTGTTTGCAACTGTTTTCAGGTCTCTGAGGTATATATAATTGCTAGATCTTTCCTGTGTTGTTTTGGAGGAACAGGCATGAAGGTTACAATGTACCCACATCTTCAGCAAGACTAATTGTTTAAACATGGGATCTTGCGGAGTTTATGGGGGTCTTCTTGAGGTGGGGGGTCCTATTCTGCTTGTTGTCTAGGTGTGCAGGGAAGAACCTCAGGTCCCCTGCCACTGTCTGACCTGGAGAGTGGCCTGTCCTGACTTGTGGGGTCCTGTCCTGTCTAGTATGAGGCTGAGATGCTGTCCCACCTGGCGCCTTCCCAGTTAATTGGTGCCCTAGCTTCTGAGTCCTTCAGGCAGAACGGTGTCCATGTGTGGGCAGTGCATCACCACAACACCAAAGACTGAAGAGGGGCTAGAGCTGGGAAGCAGCTGCTCCTGCCCCGAGGACACACAGCCTCTGTTCAGACTAAAAATAACCCCTGGATCTACTGTAAGCCGATTGCCACCATCTCAGCTGTGATGTCACGCTATAGGCCAGAGCCACACCAGGAATGGCACTGTGTGCAGAGTGGCCACCCCCTGTCCCCCTACTCTGGAGGTTGGCACAGGGGTAGAGACTTTTGTGGGCCCCAGCAGATCTAATTTCAGGTGGGTCTTGGGATGGTGAACACCCCCTAGGCAGAAGCTTTGTGCCCAGTGGCCTCTGGGATGGGTCCTGTCCCATTCACAGCACCCAGCAGACACAGGCAGGCAGACATGGCCAAGCTGCCCACCCTGTCTCTGCTCCTGGTATTGTGCTGAGTCCCTCCTTTGGGTCTCAGAACACTGTGTTCTCCCCAGCCCCTCGAGCCTCGGGGGCCAGTCGTGCCCATG